GAGAGAGAGAGACCGACAGACAGACAGACAGAGACAGATACAGAGGCACAGAGAGAGAGAAGGAGAGAGAGACATAGAGAGAGAGAGACATAGAGAGACAGAGACAGAGACAGAGAGACAGAGAGAGATAGAGACATAGACAGAGACAGAGAGACAAAGGGAAACAGAGACCCAACTGTAACTGAATGGTGCACTGGCATGGTTGCGTCGCTTTTTTTCTTCTTTTTTGGGGGGGTAAAAGTTTTATGGCGCTCGCAACTGCATCAGGTCATATGAGCGCAGGAACATATAATTAAACATTTTGAGTTGGTAGGAAATCTTTAATTTTCCTGGGTGGCGGCCGAAGCCTACTCTTATCGATTTTAGACGGCCCAGGGATGCGCAGCTTGCACACTGGACCTCCGAAATTTTTCATCCTTGTCCGAGAAGGCCAGGTGTAGATCTTTCATACCAGAAAATCAGGGGTGTGGCTGAAAGACAGCAGTAAGAATGAGCCAAGAAGTAGCAGTAGAAAGGCTGCAGAAAGAGTCAGGAGCTCAGAGGACGGGACAAAGGAGGTGAGGTGGTGGGGGCAGAAAATGGAGACAAAAGCAGACGACAGAACATTGCTAGAGAGCAGGAAAGGGAGTAAAAGGAGACAATTTTAGAGATGAAAATGTTTCCGTCTGTACCCGGATTCGAACCAGGGACCTTTGAATAAGAGGCAAACACCTGTACCTCAAGGGAACGAGAGCACGCGGCTGCGCTTTACTAAAAAAAAATCACTGCAGCATGCCCATTATTATGCCGAAAATAGTGTTGAGAGGGTGAGGGCACACAATTGCTGAAGTTGAGATAGTGCGCAACTCAGTCTTCCCTTTGTATCTCATGGGGCTCCGAATCGAGTCGAATGGTGCGCTCACCAATAGTCAATCAGACTTACATCACCGTGAACGGTCTAGTATATTTAATCGTAAAACAAGTCTATGTCGTCATCATATCTCAAATACTGTTGAAAAAGTCGCAGAACAAACCGGCGACGGACACGTGCCAAAGATGCATATTGCCAAATGAATAAGGAATGACGCCGGATGTCTCAACCGATGTCTCAAGGAGAGGGTGTGTCTTTTTCTTGCCAAGCAAAATAAACTCACCTTTTTCCTACAAATGCCGCCCGGGTTATCGCCAAACCAACTAACTCCCACCTGGACAAGCTCCGTTTTTCCCGCGCTTTTTCCTGGTTTGCCGCCGTCTGCAGCAACTCGATCGTGGTGCATGTTGGGCCAGGTGATTCTTCAATCTGTTCTGAAGCCAAGTTGTCATTCCTTCTTAATCAGATTGTTCCTCGCACCTGCGATTGCTGAATGTCACCTTACGGCACAGTACTGGAGAAGGACCACTCCATAGAGCATAAATAAATAAGATGGGGGCTGCAAAATGAGGGCCCGAAGATATTATTATTATCAATTAACTGCATACTTACCATTTTGGGGTATTGTTTTCTTTCTTTCTTTCTTTTTAAATTAATGGTTGTTGTTGGGTTTTTAAAAACTTTTCTGGTTTCATGTCGGATTCAGACAAATTGCTTTTTTCACAGCTCTGTCCTTTCTTTCTTTCTTTCTTTCAAAGTGAGCGCGGGGTGTAGTCTTTTCATCTTTGAAAGAGTCTTTTTAGGTTGTTTTCTTTCTTTGCCCACCACCCCTTACCAGACCTTTAGCTATCACCCCACCCTTCTATGACTGCGTGCCCATCTTTTTCTCTCTCTCCTGGTTTTTCTCTCACGCTCTCTCTCTCTCATTCTATGTCTCTCTCTCTCTCTCTCTCTCGCTCTCTCTCTCTCTCTCTCTCTCTCTCTCTCTCTCATTCTCTACCCCCTTTCGCCAGCTCGCTTGCTGGCTTCCTCCTCAGTCTTTCTCTCTCTCTCTCTCTCTCTCTCTCTCTCTCTC